CAGTTTCAGCCTGAAAGCCTGAAAACAAGGGCCTACAGGCCCCGTGTCAGTTTCAGCCTGAAAGCCTGAAAACAAGGGCCTACAGGCCCCGTGTCGTTTCAGCCTGAAAGCCTGAAACCGAGGACCTACAGGCCCTGTGTCGTTTCAGGCTAAATCAGGGCTTCTCCGCCCCTGAGTATTTTCAGCCTGGAACTGAGGGCCATTTTCAGGCCCTCATCAGTTCGACCTGCCCTAAAACTCAGGCACCAGACCAGGGTTTTAGCTCAGGCCATTTTTGGCCTATTTTCAATACAACCTTTGTTTGAGCTTCAACCCCAGGGTCTGGCACGTTTTGGCATTGGCAAGAGCAGCCTCCTGGACGGGCCAGCACTATATAAGACTGGCCCGCCCTGCAGGCTGCAGGTAGTTGGGAGGTAGTTCATAGGTACTTCCCAGGCACTTCACGTGCAGTTCAGTAGGCAGGAGGTAGTCTTCAGGATTCGGCAGCAGCACTCTGGAGGAGCGCTGCAGGAGTAGTATTAGCGCTAGCAGTAGTCTTCAGCGCTGGGCGCTTTGTAGCGTTAGCAGTAGTCTTCAGCGCTGGGCGCCATAGCTAGAGTAGTACTAGAGAGAGAGAGATTGGGCGGAGGCCACTGATACTTACCTGTAGCGCCGTTGCTCCAGCTTCGTCTTCGAGGTACCTGCAGCACAGCGCCATCTTCACAGGTTAGTACCTGACACATGAGAGAGAGAGTTCTTCTTCTTCCTCTTCTCAGTCCACCATCTCCTTCTCACCCTCTCGCTATCTGACTTCACTTCATCAGCAGACTACGAGAGAGAGAGAGAGAGAGAGAGAGCTTGGTGACATTTGGATCCAGACTCGACATTGAATTTCTTCGTCTGATCCCCTCCTCCTCTGTGTATGTCTGGACCTGGCGCCTCTTTCCTGTGTATAGCGCCAGGCTCCACACCTTGTGATGGACATGATGTATGTTTGGTCTGTGTTGCAACATTGATTGGGCTAGTCAGTGGTATTCTAGCATTCTGCTATGCTGTCTTGTATTACGTGATAGAGGTCAGTCTCGGTCAGGTCAGGTCTTGTATCTAAGTCTTCCCTGCGCTATTCAGCACCATTTTGTATGTATCGGAATGCACATTGCTTGTTGAAATTCTACTTGCACTGCATTGTCCATTCAGTCCTTTTCATCACATTGCGGATCCTCGGTTATTACGTACATCGCCCATCGGGGCATGTAACACATGTGATGTCCAATTTGTAGAAAGGGGCTGGAACGGAAATGCCTATACAACTGCTGTCGGTGTGCCTCTGTTTCCTAGCATGTAGGAGCCACACATCCCGTGGCATCTGTCGACGCCGTGCCATCCGATCCAGATAACAGCAACTGCGAGAATTTGATGCTGTGCTTTCAAAGTCCACACCCAAACTGGTCCTGTCCGGTTTGTAGGTGTGGCCACTTACCACAGGCAATGGCTGCTTCTCCACTCGGATTCTCTTGCAACCCAAACACTGACTGACCTCTCGTGTCATTCTAGAGCAGTCTGCTTCAGCGGTAAGTATTCACAACCCTCTGAAGTTTGTCATTGCTTTGTTCCGTTCTTTTGGCGCTCCACTCCGCTCCTCCACCATCTCTCTCCTGCCTCTTGCTTCCTTTAAAACTCCACCTCCTACCCCTTGCTTCCTCCCTCCACTTGTGTGTGTGCTACTAACAAATGCATAGGAATGAGCATCATTAAGAGAACAGACAACATATAAGCTGAAGGAAAATTTACAGGAGTATACCCTCCCAATGGACTCTGCCTCCTATCATAACGTGCAAGTGTGCCGTTAGGGTACACGGGGACGGAGCAGTTGGCGCTCAACCAAAATCAATATGGACAGCCTTGTACGTGAGAGGACTAGTAAAAGGTGAGCTGCAATAACAAATAAAATGGGTACCCCAAAGAAAACCAAAGTAAAGATGCTTACGAAAGGGAAATAAGTTCAAATAACGGATCTATTTTGCTCGATGTTGCTTGCTATAAAGGTAAAGCTATTTCATTGTTGGATTGGGCCCAATTGGCTCATCTCAAGTGTGCTTCATTGTCTGCAATAGAGGTAAAGTTGCTTTGATTTTGGATCTACTCATGTGGGCAGAGCAGGGGCTATTGCGAGGAAAATCTAAAACACACATTCATTTTCTCAAGTGCGCTTCATTGTCTGCAATAGAGGTAAAGCTGCATTAATCTGGGTGGAACAGGGGCTACTGCGGTGAAAATCGACAACCCACATTCCTTTTTTTTTAAATATTATTTTTAAGAAAACAGAACCTTTTGGTTCTGGCTCCTGCCATTCTGGGGAGCGACAGTCCGGTTCCTATTCCCCCGGCAAGTCAATATGGAAAACATGGGAGAATCACGCACGCTCCTCCCCATTATGGCTGGGAGGTCCGAGTGGACGGCATTGATTACTTCCCTGAGGAAAGATTTACCACCCCTGACCGCTGCCTAAGTTAGCCTGTGCTATAAGATCTGCCTGGCTGTTGCCAATCTGTCTGAACCCAG